CGGATGCGGATGCGGATGCGGATGCGGATGTGGACCGTGATGGCGACGGCGATGGTGAAGAGGTGTTGGCTGTTCCGAGGCTGACGACGTTCCAAAAGGTGGACGACAGAGTCGATGCGGAAGCATCCGAGGCTGATTTGGCGGCGGCTGCGTTACGCTTGGCTGCTGCGGCCGAGGCAGCGGCATCACCGAGCTTGGCCTCGTGCACCCGCAGCCATCGAGCATATTCGCCCACCCACTTGTCTGCCGGGATCGAGTCCATGCTGTGCCTTTGGACTGGAGCAGCAGCGTGAGACTGTTGTGCTTGTGATGTTAGGCGCTCATTGCGTTGGCGTGGGAAGGTGACGGTGTGAAGAGATGCGTGACAGATGTGGCGTGTGAACGAATCGTCTGTCGGGTCGGCCGCGACGATGCGGAAGGGCCGAAGCTGGGCTTCACGCAGCAAGTGCAGTCGAGGCGACCCGCAGTCGCGTCCACCTTCGAGTGTGGTTGGGCTGCTAGGAAAGCGTGTGGATGTGCGGAGGCAGCCGACGCTCGGATGGACGAGGTGGGTGTGCTTTGGCCAGCGGCTCGAGCACGCATCCAGGGTCCGGCTGCAATTTCACACCGCCGCGCGTTTGCCGGTGCTGGCTGGAATCGGGTCCGATCTGAATATGTCAAGGAAATCGGGCAGATTTTGGTCCGCAATTCTTGCTTCTTCTCGTTCTTCCAACACCAACCTGCCTCGGCCTCAAGCCAAGCCCGTCATCCTTCCTCTCACTCGTAAAGCAACATGTCGACCTCTGCCAGCGTCTTCCGCATCGCGCGGTTTGCCGCCATGCGCTCGGCGCGCATCGCTCCCTCATCATCGCGCTGCTTCTCGCGCACCGCCTTGGTCGGCGAGCCCAAGAAGCCGTCGATCAAGGCCATCGCCGAGCTGCGCAAGCTCATGCCCGGCACGAGCATGATCAAGGCCAAGGAGGCCCTCCTCGCCTCGCGCCCCGCGTCTTCGCCAGACGAAGACTCGATCGAAGCTGCACTCGAGTGGCTCGAAGCCGACCGTCGAAAGTCCGGAGCCAAGAAGGCCGACAAGGTCGCTGGACGTCAGGCACGCGAGGGCATCGTCGCCGTCACCGTCCTCTCCGACGGCCTACCCAGCGCAGTCGAACTCAAAGGCCAGCTCAAGGACCAAGCTGTCAGTGCAGGCATTGGAGCTACGGGTGCGGCTGCAGGCGGCATCGTCGAGGTCAACTGCGAAACCGACTTTGTGGCCAAGAACGACGTCTTCACCCAACTCGTCAAGGACATCGTACACACAGTCGCTCTCTTCCCCGCTCTTACAAACCCTACCGGGGCAGAGGATGGATTCGTCCAGATCCCAGTGGACCAGCTGCTCGCCTTTCCGCTGCTGCCAAGCTCGCCCGAGGCCCAGGGGTCTAGTGTGGCACCCAAGACGGTGGGTTCAGCGATCATCGATGTCGTCTCGCGCCTGGGCGAGAAGATCTCGATCGCACGTGCTGCCGCCATCCCTCCCCCGCAGACTCCATCGGCAGATGCTCCGCGCCGCTCCGAGACTGGCATGGACCGTGGCGCCTCGGTGCTGAACCTCGCCTCTGCATTCGCCCACGGTGGATCCGCCGGCTTTGCGCCCGCCAAGGATGCCGCCAAACCTGGCTACGTGCTCACCAGCGGCAAGGTCGCCTCGCTCCTCACCACGCGCTTTGCCAGCCCCCAGCTTCCAGACCTGCTGGCGTCCTCCAGTGATGATGTCCAGATCAACATCCGCGCGCTCACCCGGAGTCTCGCCCGACAGGCCGCCGGCATGCAGACCAAATCCATCAAGGCGCATGCCGACAACAACGCCGAGGTGCAGGGTGAGGTGAGCACCGCGCTGTACGACCAGCCGTTCATGATGCTGCTTCCCGCTGCGGCGCCATCGCCCGAGAGCAGCGCACATCCCGTCCAAGACGTGCTGCGCTCCTGGGCTATCCACAACAAGCTCGAGTCGAGCGACGCAGATGCCGTCCAGGTGCTCGACATGCACCGTTGGGAAGTCGGCGAGACTGCTGCACCTGTCGAGGCTTCCGCCGATGACTTTGCCCAAGAAGTCCGCAAAGCCGCCGGCCTCGCCTAGCCCCCACACCTCTAGACCTTTGTACAACATAGACGCAATTCCAGCACCACTGCTCTGCCCCCACTCCATCTTCCAATGCCCGAGTCGCGCACATCGCCAGCCAGACCGGTCAGAATTGTGAAAGGTGGTTGTAACGAAACACGGTTACAAGAGATCCATGGGTGAATGGAGGACATTGAGCTCCTTAAGTGCGGCGAATCGGCGCACGGTGCGATCGGCCTCCTTGGACGGATACGAGTAGACGGCCAGAGTTTGTTCGGGCTCCTTGCCGTACTGGGCTGGGTGGAGGAGGCGGTTGTGGAATCTTCGCAGCGTGCGGATGCTCTGTCGCTCGCCGTTGTAGAGCGTCTTTGCATCCACGCCCGGCAGCAGCACCTGGGAGCTGCGGCCCTGGAAGAGCACCGGAATGGCCACCTTGGTCACACTCCCATCACGGCTCTGCTGTTTGCGCGCCACAAGCTCGACATCCACCTCTTCCAGCATGACGGCAAAGCGCAGGCAGTACGCCAGCGACTCGCCCTCCTCATCGCCGCATTTGACGCAGAAGCGCTGGTCAACGGGCAGCAGCCGCTTGCACGCCTTGCACTCGATGCGCGCCCACTGCTCCACCTTGGGCGGATTGGTCGAGATGATGCGCGCGCGCACCTTGTACATGCCCGGACACAGCGAGGTCGTCTGCAGCGCCGCCAACGCCGTGAGCGGGATGGAAGCCGGCGCCTGGCATCGGATCAGCGGCCGACGCACCTCGAGGCTCAGCTCCGGTGGACCCATGAGCATGCCTGGCTTGAGTTCGGGCGCCTCGAGCTCGGCGAGGCTGCCCACACCGCGATTGGCGCTGCTGCTTGCTGCCAGCGCTGCAGTCCTGTCGCCACCGTTGCCCTTGGAAGGTGTGATCTCATGGAACGCTCGTGTGTGGCGCTGTGCAGGCGTGGGAAAGGGTGACGAAGTCGCTCCAGACGGACTGTTGCCCACAATCACCGAAGCGCCCCGATGGTCTGGCTGTGGTGCTGCATTCCCAGCCTTGTCGGTGTGTTCCGAGCGCACACCCGCTGCTTCGGGCACGGCACCAGCAGGGGGGCGAGTTGGAGGAATCGGCGCATCCGAAGCTGGCTCGGTCTCGATCGGACGCTGCGGCTCGGGAGCGGCTTCGAACCTGCGCTCAGCTTGATCGGCGAAGGCCTCCTCCTCGGCGGCAAAGAGCGTTTCGACGAAGCGCGCGCGTCGCTGCTCCAGCGCGATGCGTGCCTCGTCGGTGGGCTTGAGCGTGCGGATCTTGATGCCGCTGTCGGTGCTGCTGCCCAGACCGCCCGTGAGTAGACCACGCGGATTGAGCTTGGGACGCACGTTTTGGATGCGGATAATGTCGCCGGTTTGCAGGCCCTCTGCGATGGTGGCATGGCTGTCCCAGAGGCTGATCTGGAATACGTGGCCCCAGCCGTCGGTGTCGTCGGGATAGGGGATGGTGCTTTCGGTGCGGAGGTACTTGTCGTTGCCGCGGAAGAAGAGCGTGTGGTTGGTGTAGTCGGTGACGTAGAGGTCCGGGGCGAGGGTGTGGGTGTAGACCTTGAGCACCTCGACGACCGTGTCGAAGAAGACGTTCTCGGCCAGGTCCTTGAGCAGCAGCGTGGGGCGGGAGGAGCGAGTGACCGCGTTGGCATCGACGCCCTGGAGCTCGGAGAACCAGTTGGCCATGTCGCGGAAGTGGTCCATCTCGTCGGCGCTGCATTCGGGCGGCGCATGCGAGGCGAGCGGAAAGTTTTCTGACGCGCGCACATCGCCCGAGACGGGATCGTAGGTGGCCCAGCTCCATGCGCCCGCCGACTTGCCCACGCCCTGGGGTTTGCCCGAAAACATTTGGACGTTGATGTTGCGCACGGCCAAGATGTGGCCGGGTGCGATGGGCTGAGGGATTCGTTCGGACTGCTGCGCGAAGAGCATGACGGTCATGGAGCGTGCGAGCTCCTTGGCATAACCGGTGCCCGAGAGGCACGAGGCGTCGGCGATGGTGACTTTGATGCTGAGGTCGCGTGTGCCGCCGGTGGACCTGCGTGGATCGCCAGCTGCGACGACGACGCCGATGAAGCTGGCGCGCTCGCCGTCGCGCACCATGGTGATGGGCGTGTAGAGGCAATTACCCATGCGACGCGGCTTGACGTGCGGTGCGTTGCGATGAGGGGCGGTCGGAGCCGCCGAGACCGGTCGCGACGATGACGCGCGAGCAGGGTTGGGTGAAGACGAAGATCGCTGGAGAGCTTCGCTTTTGACGGTCGCAGGTGGGCGCGTTGTGACGGCGCTGGAAGACGTCTGAAGCGGCGGACGAGGTTGCGGGGGCGGCGGCGGGAGGGTCGAGAGGCCGTCTGTATTTTGCTGTTGAGGGGCTGGGGTGGAGAACCAGTCGCTCGTTTGACTGGATGGGTTGGGCGCGAGCCCGCCGTTGGGAGTGTCGAGGGGGGAGGGTGCCGGGGCCGAAGGAGTGGCGAGTTGTTCGACCCAGATGGCCGAGGTGGGAGCGGTGAGGTTGGAGGAGGGAGGCTGACTGGAGATCTTGAGGACGGCATGGTTGGTGGTAAAGTCGACGCCGCGGTCAAGCGGCGATGTGCGCAGAGCAGCGAATCCGGAGAGGTAGACAAAAGTGGGAGGTGCGATTCTGTGGAGCAGCAAAAGCGGTTCGGCGACCTTTTGGGCGAGGTCGGCATGGAATCTCGCCTCGAGACGACCGCCGAGCGTGGATCCGTCGGCTTCGATGGTGATGAGTTCGAGGCGGAGGACGGGCCCGGGTTGGGACGGCGGCGTGACGGCTTTGACCTCGCCACAGATGCAGACGGCGGCGCCGCGTCCGTGCCCGATAGCTTCGAGCCAGCGATCGAGACCGACAATCTTGCCGAGACGATCCTCCTCTGCTTCCGAGAGGAATCTTGCACGTTTGTGTGTTGATGCCAAAGCGTCCAGGTCGGCGGTGCGAGATTCGGACGGCAGTCGTCGCAGTTCGGCGGGTGCGGGCGTGACGGAGGTGGTTGCTGCAGCATTCGCCGGCGCTGCGGAAGGCTCACCGCTGCCTTCTGAAGGCTCGCGCTTGGGCCCTTTTCGTTTGCGTGGCATGACTTCCAATGCCTCCGTCCGTAGAGGTGAGAGTGACCGTAAGAACGACGATGGCGAGCAGGCGTGGATTGCTTCCTCGAGTCGGAATCAAGGGTCCCCCCTTTGACCCACGTCTTGGCCTGGGCGAGACCAACACTTTTTGTGGCCCAACACGCGTGCCCCACCCAAAGTGCATTCAACGCAACTGCCGCTGTGTCTCGCGTCCTCATCTGCACGCGCTCCACCGACTGAGCCTTCCCAAAAAAGCTGAAATCTGTTAGGTCGAGTCTACAGCTCTCGCAGACTGGGCGCGCGGAATATGGCCGTGTTGGAAAGCACTCGACCGTGCAGGGCTTCAGGGCGGCAGCACGGCAGCTCACGCGACGCGTTGATGACGATGTGCACTCGACTCGAGAAGAAGCAGGAAGCGGAACAGCCGAGAGAGAGAGCACACGGTGCTGTGACGGGCGGAAATGGACGCGGTCCGCAGTTGTGTGTGTGTGTGTGTGTG